ACTTGACAAATGACACAGAATTACTTTTACAAATTTAAAATTATGCAAAATAACTGTAAAAAGAAGGAATTCTAATAATAATCTTATTGAACTTCGGTGAGACAGACGAACTCTTTTGCACAATTAACAATTAGACGAACTATTTTGCTTATAACTTCTTCGAATTTAAAACAGGATATGTATAAATTTAAAAAGCTAAAATGTTTATTGGTTAATAATAAAAAATGACATAAGTAACGTGACATATCATAGTGTGTGCGTTACCCCAGCAAAATAATGTCGAATGGCATTTAACGTTATAGATAATTAGTTGCTCCCCTTCTGTAATTGTTGGGGCACATTTTTAAATTTGTTTCCAAAAACTTTTTTAGTTATTTCAAAAAAACATTTCCTGCGGGGGTAACGTTTGAAACGTTACCGCAGCCAGACTTTTTCTTTTTTAAATTGAAATATTGAAAAAAATTTTAGCTAATAATTAGTTATCTGGACTAGGTAAATGTTACAACTTATTTGGTAGTTGTATTTTCTTCGGCTGCGAAGTTATTCGAAATCCTGCTGGAGTAACGTTTGTGGGTTTGCTGGATATCTGAACGGGTAAGCGGATTGTAACCGTTTTTTTGTACATAACTTTTTAAGGACAATAAATAACAAAAATAATGGACCGTTTTAAAAATTATTTAGGTAAGTATGAAAACACTTCAATACGTCCTAACATTTTAAATAAGACCTCTAAAGACTTACTTGAAACGTTATTCTTTTGCTTGTAACTACCTTCAAATGTATACGAATTTTCGTAAAAAATACTGTAAGTGACTAAAAAGTTATGATGAAATGTAGCTCTCCACGTTCACGATCACAAGTATGCGGCCTTTTTTGGCACCGATAAACCTGTGTGTGGATATATAAACGAATATTATGCCAATAATTAGTTGTTTAGTTCAGTTGTCTACCTGTAGAATTTCAGCGTCGTACATATAATAATTTACGAGATAATTAAATAAAAGTCTTACAAGGTGCAAGTCCGTGGTAATCCGACCATGTTTAGGTGGTTACAAAAAAGCGATCACCCAGTACATTGCGCTGTCTTTTAAAATGTTTAGTGTAATACACCTTACGATTTCGGTACAGTTGCGTACAGTGTTAAATCGTTCAATATTTATTCATTTTAAATTACCTATTATTTTTTTTTGTTTTTTCCCTAATTGATTTTAAAGCACTAGTTTCTTTACTTAAAATTTATTTAGTCTTTTTTACTACCGGAGCTACAAATCAACAGAAAATCGGGCACTGGTCCGCTAAAATTATAAATATGTAGATAAATGTATGAAACGATTCACCTGACTGAAAATAAAACGAAAATTTAAACCAATAAGCCCATCGTTTCATTTCTTTGATTTTTTTTCGTAAAGAAATAACACTAAAGTAATTGTATTTCATTTAGGGGTGTATAGAGCTTAGACTTGAATGCATCAAAATTTTAAAAAGGCAACAAGTCATCTACAATAAGTTAAAATAGACCGAATAGTAGAAGAATACAGTTGTAAAATTAGAATGCATCAACATTGCATCGTCCAACAGTCGTATCCCTCGTAAGAGTAGGTAATATTGTTCTGTGGTCTATACCTAGAACCGAGAATTATCTATACCTATGTACCTACGTTAAGCGTTGAGCCGTGACGGGTTGATTTCTGTTAAAAACGAACAGTTGTTGAATGATATTTTGATGTAAAAAACGGAAATTTTAAATTTTATCGATGAAAGTGATACATTTTTATAGATAAAATTTTTGGTCAGATAATATTTGTCAATCAAGAATCGCTGATAATACATCCTTCGCTAGAACGCGGGGGGGGAGGGGCGAAGGGATACTTCATTGTTTGCAATTTGCATTTAGTGCACTAAACTTGAAACCCCTTTGGCAGATAATATACTGTTGTAAAGTACTGTGAGCTTCCGCTTTCTATTTTTGCAAATATTTTTCGTATTCTTGTAGTTCTTCAATAGTGTGTACCTAATTACTAATAATGGGCATTAATGCTAATTCGATTCAATTTAAGTAATTGTCAATTCTTGTCTTAGGATATTAATTACTAATGCTAATATTGAAATTTCGTTCAGGGTGAAAAATTAAAAACGATCATAACTTTTAGGTAGGTATAGCAACTTATTACTAATTTCATAAATAATTATTTATTATAATTTAACTCACCCGCGATTTTGTGATCAATATTTTATTTTCTCCAACATTATTACAGAAATAATGCAATACAGAGTTTGTTCGCGATATGCTAGCCTAAGTCGATTCATCACTTAAAAAATCCCCATCTATTCACAAAATACCTATTTACAACGCATACGTTACACTCTTCAAAACTTATCGTTTCATTTCCTTTCATTTCATATTTCTTAAATTACCTATACCTACCCTAAAATTAACTTCAATTAACAAAAATACGAGGTACCAATTCTATGAACTACTATAAACAATTTACCTAACATTACGAGAAAACAAAAGCATTCAAACAAACCTAATCTCCCAGTGATTACTAATTATGCAATAAACAATCCTAAATAAAAAATATTAAAAAAACATGTAGTTTTTTGAACACTTATGTACATATCCGTAGTAAACTTGCAAAAAATATCCTACATATTTTAAAAGCCAGCACAATGTTTCTGGGTGATCGCTTTTTTGTAACGACCTAAACATGGTCGGGTTACCACCCGGGCTTGCACCCCTCTAATGACCTTTATTTAATTATCTCGTAAATTATTATATGTACGACGCTGAAATTTACAGGTAGACAACTGAACTAAACAACTAATTATTGGCATAACATTCAGTTTATATATCCACACACAGGTTTTTTCGGTGGCCAAAAAAGGCCGCACACATTGTGATCGTGAACGTGGAGAGCTACATTTCATCATAACTTTTTAGTCACTTACAGTTTTTCTTACGAAATTCGTATACATTTGAAAGGGAGTTACAAGCAATAGAATAACGTTTGAAGTAAGTCTTTAGAGGTCTTATTCAAAGTGTTAGGACGTATTGAAGTGTTTTCATACTACCTAAATCATTTTTAAACGGTCCATTATTTTTGTTTATTTTATTGTCGAACAAATTAAAACTAATCCTTAAGAAGTTATGTACAAAAAACAGTTACAATCCGCTTAGCCCGTTTCCGAGATCCAGCAAACCCACAAACGTTACTCCAGCAGGATTTCGAATAACTTAGCAGCCGAAGAAAATACAACTACCAAATAAGTGGTAAAAATTTTCCTAGTCCAGATAACTAATTATTTAGCTAAAATTATTTCAATATACAATTAAAAAAGAAAATGTTGCTGCGGTAAACGTTTTCAAACGTTACCCCAAACAGGAAATGATTTTTGAAATAACTAAAAAGTTTAAGTCAAACAAATTTAAAAATGTTTCCTAACAATTACAGAAGGGGAGCAACTAATTATCTATAACGTTTAAATGACCATTTTCGACATTATTTTGCTGGGGTAACGCACACGAAAAAATCTATCAGAGAAAATTTCACACTAGACGAACTTTTTGCATCAGGGCTCGTATATTTTACGTTACTTATTGTACTACTTTACTTTCTATATAGTGCCTACCCAGACAAAGGGAATAGGTTTTGGGTTTTTTCCTCTTTCCATCCGTCCAGGTACAGAAGTCATACACCTTTCGCAAATAGTTCTTGGCCCTGCTCTGGTTGGGTTTTAAAGATGGCAAGATTGTCTTTGAATGCTAAGATGGATTTCGTATTTACTAGTCTTATAAATAGATGGTAATTGTTTTATTCCTTTTCTTTGTCTTCTATCGTATGGCCATGTTTAAACTTTTAAAAACTTTTAAATGTCCCTCTCGTCAATTGACAATTTGGTTCTTAGTGCAATATGTGAACTAAAGTATCGATATAAATATATTAGAGATTAAGGGATTGGTGAATCCATTTTTTTATTGTGCTATGTAATAAAACAACTTCTTGAAAGAAATCATTTTATTTACAACTGAAAATAAATATACCTACAGTCAGTGTTGAAGTTTAACTTTCTTTGGTCTAGACTTAAATAATTTTTGAAGCAGGATTTCAATACTATTTTTTAATACATAACATTATTTATGTACAATAAATAAAAAGTATGTGTAGCTCTACTTTTAGTCTAACGTTTTTGGAAGCTGAATATCTTAAGGAGTACAAGTCCGACAACAGTTGCTGCGGCGACTCCAATACCTGCTTTCCACCACGAAGAACTTTCTCCCGTCAGACTGGCAAAGTGCTTCAAGTGCCTGCCAAGTAAATTATTACCTTAGCACAATTGATCAAATAATCTAGAATTAATTTGTATAACTATCTTTTACTGACCTGTGCTTGCTGAATAAATCCAAGCAGCTTGAAATTGACTGACAAAGACAATTAAAATAACAGTATCGCAAATCAAGCAATGTTAATTGGTTGAAATAACCGTAACTACAACAGTAGATATACTGTATATCTGAGAACTTTGTAGAATGATTTAATAATAATGTTTTTTTCGTTACTTCAAATTTAAACTGTATTGTTGCTTCTGTGCAAAGAGTTCTATTATCACTACATAAAGGATAAAATTTAATTGAATATGTACTCCCTAGAAAGTTTTGCTTATCCTTAAATTATTATTATTTTCATGGCTTTTTCAATGTTCTTCTCTTATACCCATATCTCTCAGCTCTCTCTGCTTATTTCATTATTTCTTCACGCGAACTGGGCCTACCTACCAGAGCTCGATGGAATATAAAAAATAAATTTTACAAAGCATTAACAATCAAATGTTTTTCTTACGGAAATGCAGCCATAGTGGCGAGTTTTAAAGAAGACATCGTGTTTATTTTCTCTAATGTTAAAGAAATTGTGGAGGCAACAGTTGGTACTTATTTCAGAACACCCCTGGCTGGAGGATGTACTCTTGTCTGGCTATCAAAGCATCACCTTTGGTTCCAACTATTAAAACAGGGATATGACTCTCGGCAAAGTATTTCTAAAACAAAGAAAAACATACTTGTCAGTTAAAGCTTTTATATAAGTAGACAATTAATAAAAAACATTAATGTACAAGATATGAAAAGGTTATCCGGTGAGTATCGAGTACTCGGCAATACCGAGTAGTATATTAAATATGGTACTTAATTTATTTCATTCATGTTGTGTGACGGTGTCTTTCAAAACTTGTACACATTTATCTTTTAATTTTTGTCTATTACTTGAATAGTAAGTGAATATACACAATAAGTCGCTATACTTTATAATAATAATGGTAACTACACACATCTCACACACGGCATGTAGCAGTGCTCATCACGCATCACATAAACGACAACGAAATCAAATTTCGACCTACGGCTTAGCAGTCAGAGGGCCAAGTGCGAGTTTATTTCACATCAACTCACTCACCATATTGGTTAAGATTTCAGTGCGGATTAATCGCAGCTCCGAAGCTGGTAATTGAATTAAATATATTTAAATAATCTTAGGTAATTTAAAAATATAATGCTACTTACAATATAAATCCTAGCGATATATTCAAAGAACGGCTGGCAGCTACGTCGTAAACTAAACAGGCAACGTCACAGTTTACTTCGTGCGGCTGCAGTGGATCTGAGACACGTGTGATAGGTATTTCTTTCAAAACTAAGTACTTCTCCTGACCATACACCAGCACCGTGTTTATACAACAGTTCTCTAATGTATTACTATCGCCTCGTTCATTAGCATGTGGTTTTTATTTTCTGAAATTATATTAAAAAAATACTAAATATATATTTATTTTTAGAGATGATGGAATTACACAATGTTTATCACTAAGCAACAAAATACTTTTATTTTCAGTAGGTTTACAATTTGATTTACTACATCACATCATTTTGTAGTGAAAACTACTTATTGAAGAATCAATTAGTATTTTCAGTAGTGGTAAAATAGTAAGTATTCTTAAGACTAACAGATTACCGATTCAAATTACGCTTACAATACGATATAATCGCATTACAGTCAACATTGGATGTTCAATACTTTACTACGAAAATACCTTTTATGACAGTTGTGAGATCAAGAGTTGATCGAACTGAACTGACCGAAATTTTATTACGAGAATTGGCCCTCCGGTATACTAAAAAGTCGCTACGTCTTGACTTGAAAATTATATTATTATTATATTGTATAGTGTCCAGAGCATGGTCACTATATACAGAGTTACAAGAAAAATCGTGCTAGATCCGTTAAGGGCGGATTGGAGTACCCGTCATTTTTGACTTATTTCACTATGAAACACTCTACCCTAAACTTAACCCTTTTCGAGATATTTCGACTTTTAATTTTTTTTATTGAAAATTGCTGATTTTTTAGGCTACTACATTTATTTTTGTTTATTTTGTGTATCTTATTATTAGTGATGTGCCGGATCGTTAACAAAGTATATCCGCGGATACGGATCCGAATACGGATATTTGGTGTCGAGATCCGCGGATACGGATACGGATCTTAAGTTTCTTACTCAATCGGAGCCCGTGACCTTGATAGTTGTCGGCCACTTGACGATTTGCCGTTGATATTTAAATATTTCATTATTTTAATAAGCTATACAAAGATGTTTGATTGATTCTCATTATAAAGATAGCTCTTTAAGTACCTACGACCTGCCTAGTGATTTAGTGTAGTACGATAAATGATTGCATACAAAGATGCCAAATATTTGTTTTAAGAAAATAAAAGTAATCTGAACAGAATTCAATAGTTTTTCATAGCTACCTAATAACCATTATTCCGGGTTTATTTAAATTTACTGAAAACCTCTGATGTGCATATTAGTAACATTATAAACAACAACTTTTTTCTGGACTAACACCGAAAACGAAAGAAAAAAAAATTGTTTCTCCATAAAAACTAACAACATTTGATTGGTCATTTGAATGGAGGACCATTTTTTTCATTTTGACGTTAGCCAGAAAGAAGTTGCTGTTTATAGTGTTACAAACACATACCTAAGAGTTTTTACAGTGAATACAAAAATCACCTATATAGAAATTTCATCTATGTCTTAAAGATCCGCCAAAAAAGTCACGGACACGGATACGGTTACGGATCTCTCTTCTCCCTTGGATATCCGCGAATACGGATAAGGAAACGGATATCCGGCACATCACTTATTATTATTGCATTTTTACATGTGTAATAAGATGCTTTAGGACGTCATAATTAAATTGTGCATAACTTAATTGAATAGACCGTAGTAGAAAATAAAAACAAATATTAGAAAATTATTTTACTCTAACGGATATCTAAAAACAATATTTGGTAATTGAAGACTGGTGGTTCGGCAGATGTTTTTTAAAATATCTACGTTTCATCAGCTATTTAACGAGGTATAAAAATCTAGGGTTTATATTACATTTCGTGGAAAAAAAGTAGTTGGGACGGTAGCATTTTCTAACGGTCCCGCGCCTATTGTCCTTCAAGTTAAGACACACGAAGCGAAGAGACAAGTGACGATTTATGTAGGCGAATGAAAGAAAAATGTGTTAGAGACCGGTTAGGGCTCGGAATACAACAGAGGGCTTTGTTTGGTTGTCACTAGTTGTCAGTCTGCTTTTGGGCTTCGTAACATAGTAGATGTGATATCGTGTTGCTTTTTTTTCTCGACTTGGCTGTGATTCTGGATATTTCTTCTGATTTGTGACTACTGTGCTTGTTAACCGGACTCTGATTTGTACTGTGATACGGAAGTGTTGAAGATGACGTCCTACACAACTGAGGAATATGCTGATATGTTTATTTGTTACGGATACTGGATTGTGTGTCTGCGCAAGCTCGCAACGAATACATAACCCCGCTACCCCGGTCGTCGAGTGCCGGATGTGGCCGTTTTTGGGCAGAGTTTATCGAAGAAACTGGCTCTGTTTTGAGACGAAATACAGACATGGGAAGACCCCGAATTGACGACAAGTTACACACGGTACACGTTATTGAAGAAGGAGACCCCCCGAGAAGATTGGACTTTTGCAGATTTATGCTAAATGCTGACGTAGAAGACCCAGATTTTCTAAGAAATATCTTGTGGACGAATGAGTCCAAATTTGATAAAGGATGGCATAACTAACTATCACAACGCCCATTACTGGCCCCAAAAAAAACTAAGAATCCCAATAAAAAAAGAGTGAAGGGCATTTTCTCCAAACATTTGATTGGACCTTACTTTCTCCCTGATAATCTAAATGGGGAAAGCTACGAAAATTTCCTGACAGACTTGAGTGATTTGCAGGATGATCTGCCACTCAACCTGATCGGGGACATGTGGTTCCAACACGATGGCTGCCGTGGGCCCCTTTCAGGTGAAGTGTCAGGACTGGCTGGACACAAAATTTTCACAAAAATGGATAGGACGAGGTGGGCCGTTGCCATGGCCAGCAAGAAGTCCCGGGCCTAACCCCCATGGATTTACAAGTGTGGGTGTGCATGAAAAGTCTTGTGTACAGCTAGCCGAATCCAGTTTCGTCTGTGGAAGACTTAAGAGAAAAAGGGTTGTGGATGCAGCAAATAAAATGAGCACCACGTTGACCACTGGAGTAGTGAAGACTGGTCTCCGTAGAAGGAAAGCGAAAAATGTATCAGAAATAGAGGAGGCCATGTTGAAACATGAACTGTAGAATAAGAAAACGTTGTGTGAAAACCTTTAATAAATAACATTTCATCTTAACTATTTGTTTTATTTTTCTTTTTTGGCTAAGTATAAATTTTCTTCTCCACTGTCGCCTATAAAACTAAAGTTTTTTCAAAGCATTTGAATAAAACCTTAGATTATTATACTTCGTTAGATAGCTGATGAAACGTATAATAGATATTTTAAAAAACATCTGCCGAACAATTACCCTAATATTGTTTTAGATATCCGTTAGAGAAAAATAATTTTCTTATATTTTTTTTTTAATTTCTTTACTTTCACTTGTCTACTACGGTCTATTCACTTAACTTATGCACTATTTTAATGATTGACGTCCTAAAGCATCTTATTACACATGTACAAATGCAATAATAATAAGATACACAAAATAAACAAAAATAAATGTCGTAGCCTAAAAATCGGCAATTTTCAATAAAAAAAATTAAAAGTCGAATATCTCGAAAAGGGTTCAGTTTAGGGTAGGTGTTTCGTAGTGAAATAAGTCAGAAATAATGGGTACTCCACGCCCTTAACGGAACTAGCACGATTTTTCTTGTAACCCTGTATAGCATAGCTGATATCTGTTGGTACTGACTTTAATTTAAAACAGGGATGTTAGACGTACCAATTTCTTGGTATACGTACCATTATTCAGGGTCTTCTACCATGTACCAACGTTCTACGTTGATCATAAATATATAAATAAATGTTTTATCTAAGATATATAAGTTTTTGCTGTACGTCACAGTTACAACATTGATTATTGTAAAAATTTACTGCTCATAATGATATTTATTTTTGACGCATTAAGTAACTTACTTCAGATTAATATAATCAATCGAGCGAAGTATCCTTGGATGACGGGTATGATTTTGTCAGAAAATAATATAAAAAATTATTTCAATTAAACTCATAGTTGATTTTTTTCAAATTACGTATAGCCATTTATAAGATCTAATAATAAAAACGTCAACAACTAAAGAGAATAATTATTATTAGTTATAATATTGATAATTACATATTGTAAATTTTTATCAGGTATGATTTCTTTTAAATAACCAAGAATTTTTTCGATAATACAAAATTTCATTTAAAAGAACAACAAATAAACTATTCATTTTTTTTTATTAATATAACGTTATTGTGTGTGTACCAACTTTTTTCAATACCAGCTTCAGAGCCTTTTAGCGGCATCTGTACTAGCTTTGGTTCACCACAATCTAACATCCCTGATTTCAAAATATTTACTGAATTTATTAATCTTGGGTAACGGCAAGTCGATCATTTTTTTGTTTGTTTTTAACAGAAACACAGTTTTAAACAGTTTGAATAAAGACCAGTAAACCAAACATTTTCGTTTGTTAGGAGAAAGTGTTAATTAAGTTCTAACTACCTTGAGTTTTCTACAAATAAAGAAATCGAAGACAAGTCCTAGGTAGGCACCTCTAGCACTTCCACTTAGTTTAAATTGTATGCGATTGTTGTGGATATTATTGATGTTATCAAAAATATTTTTTTACAACATCATTATTATTGACAAAAATAACATTCCTATGACACGTTAAATAAGTCCGACAGAATAGACTGCAATTGAGATAATTGTAATAAGTTTAATTATTTCAATAATGCTTATTCTTTTCAAGGTTAGACAACACAGATACAATTAGACACTACTCTATGAAGTCTATGATGATGATGGTGTGATGATAAGATCTATCTCAATGCATATAATATTCTTAGCACATTTCGGCAGAAACCAGTCGCTCACAAATATCGAATAACATCACTTTGACATTGATTCTTGCTCTTCAGGTAATCTGGTAATAAAATGAGATGTAATGTACCTTATGGGCTATACCGAGAAAGCTCCTACAAATAGATGTTTTTCCACAAGACCTTGGACCGATGATATGACACTGGTAAACATTACGACTGGACTGTTTTTTGGCAATGTCGACTTTCTTTTCGCGAGTTACTGCAAAAGGAAGATGCACATCAGCTATAGTTTCCCGACATTCATTACTTCACAGAGATCAATGAACTTACTGTGTATTGCGGCCTTTTGCGATTCGTTTTCTAAAAATTAAAACCCAAATATGCTAGATAGGCACTTGTATTCTGCAAATCCAGCAATGTCATTAATGTCCAACGACACATCCATCCTTGTAGTGTTAAAAACCCCTGGAACCGAAAACCAAAACAGTTAAATCTTCTCAATGCCTATCAATAAATTTTCTTTATTTCGTGTGCGTTACCCCAGCAAAATAATGTCGAAAATGGTCATTTAAACGTTATAGATAATTAGTTGCTCCCCTTCTGTAATTGTTAGGCACATTTTAAATTTGTTTCACTTAAACTTTTTAAGTTATTTAAAAAAAAACATTTCCTGCTGGGATAACGTTTGAAACCTTACCGCAGCCAGACATTTTCTTTTTTAATTGTAATATTGAAATAAATGTTAGCTAAATAATTAGTTATCTGGACTAGGTAAATGTTACAACTTTTGGTATTTGTATATTCTTCGGCTGCGAAGTTATTCGAGATCCTGCTGGAATAACGTTTTGGGTTTGGGTGGATCTCTGAAACGTTTAAGCGGATTGTAACCATCTTTTGTAAAATAACTTCTTAAGGATTAGTTTTAATTTGTTCGACAATAAAATACAAAATAATGGGT